GAAGAGTTATTGCTCTTGCATTCATTCAAGGACAACACTTTAGGTGAAGCTCACGTACGCACATCCTTCCAAACCCCTCCCCCTAAAAGCAACTGATCACGTTCCTTCAATTTCCTCTCCCCGCCAGTATAGTACAAGTACATTTTCAAGTGGTTCTAAAACAATCATTCAACCGTAATAAGATGGGTATGCCATGAAATCTGACCTGCAAATGTGACTGATGATGGTATGTACATGTAGTATTACATCTATAACTAATCAGCAAAGTCCCTCCCTCACAAACTTACATTCCAGCCATTTTGAAGCAGCATTCAAAACCACATGTTCAAGCTCTGACTGGAACCAGTGAAACTGAAGTCTAAGCCAAATCCACTCATTTTGAAAATGCTTTAAGTAAATGTACATGTATGGTACCCTCATTGAAGAGGTCTGTTGCTCATCACTCAGTTCAACGTTGAATCTGAAGATTTTTAGTCTCTTCAAACCTTTATTTCAAGCAGAAGTTGCCCTAGATGCAAAGTTTTTCTACATGCATTAGAGTCAATTTGCCTTTGTGATCTCAACAATCTGTCTCTATGTATTGAGGCTTGACTTTGCATGTCTCAAACAAATGCTGAGGCTCTCAACACTTAGTAAAAAAATAATATTAAACTGAGAAAAACACATGAAAGGATGCTACAGTCACGATGCCAGGAGAAGGATTTAGCACATCTCAGTCAGGAGACAGGATTTCAGACAGAGCGTGGTGAATGGCTTGCGTCTTATCTTTGTGCAGATAGCTAAAAGGGGATGCATTGGAGTGGAAAGTTTTGGGATAGGGGTGTGGCTAAGTTGATGTGGAGTTGTGGGAGGGATCCACACACCAGTACATACATACATACATACATACATACATACATACATACATACATACATACATACATACATATATGTAGGTTAAGTGTGTGCTTTCCTAATGGTGTTCTGTGGACCACTGGCTCCATGTTAAAGTGAACATGTAAACAAAGTGTGGCATCATCAATATCATACATGGGCCTGTTATTTTCTGTATTATAATAAGGCTTAACTATTCCCTTTTTCACGGTATAATGTATCAAATTGTCATGCTGCAGTCTCTATATCTATTGTGAACTTGGAGGGTCACAACAGCTCTTTACAACACTCAAAACTGTCATGGCTGCTTCCTTGTTCTCAATGTTGTATAGCTGTTATTCAAAGCTGGCTTTTGATAATATCTAAACATGCTCCAAAGCAAAGCTCTGTGGAAAAGATTGTCAAATCATTGTACAATATTAACGCTATTCTTATATTATGATGACCGAGACATGTACATTAATTAGTAATATTGTTACACCCTTCTACCAGCATCAGAACTCTGTAAAGGAAATAAGTCTGACCACTTAAAAAAAAAAATACTACCAATGTGAGAAAGACAGGAACCTCCCTCATATTGGTCCCTATATCAGTGCTCTATGCTTTACATGTCTCAAGTCTTCTTCAGATAAATGTTGGTGGGACAAACTGTTCTGTGATGATGGGCATAAAAAATCAGTAAGGACAATCCTGGGGATATCTGTTGTGAATTCCAGATAAATGTTCACTCCTGTGACATTCCTAGTTTTGAGATATTTTTGTGACGCATTTTTCAGGGAGTTCCTGATCTGAAGTTGTTTTGAAGCTTATTCAAATGTGACCAAGTACAAGGAAAAAGGCACAATTTTGATTTGATGTTGAACACGTATCCTTCATACAGCGCACCTGTGTGAACAATATTTGAGGGATAGATGGTGCCAACATGGTATTGTGAACAGGTGATGCACGTGGTGAACAAGCATGTACAGAATGTATGTATTGGTAGGTTGCCCTGCAGACATGTATTCTTCTATTCATGTATGCTGTGTATCGTACTGTGATCCAGTAGCAAGTGCCTACAAGAATAGGGCTGAAGGATAGCAGGTGTTGTACTGTAATTCACAGCAGTGGGTGGTATTGAAGTTAGTTCAAGAATTCCTTCCACTTAAATTACACAATGGTCAACCTGCTCATGTCTGGAAGTGGGTGCAGGCAGGGGATTTTAAGTGTTGGCATTCACCGGCCATGCATGTGTAACATACAATCTTTGAACACTCCACGAAAGTCAACCTGTCTTTACAGCGCAAAAGTGAAAGTCACCCTACATGTACAGGTACAGTGCAAGAGTGGTCATGAAAACCGACTGCCGTAGACAGCCTTGTTGTAGTTTTTGTATTTTTCACGAGTGAAGTACAGTAACTGCCAAATATAAGCTGATGACTGACTGGGGAGGAATCTCAATGTGTCTTTATGAAAACACATTTTTTTTTTATCTGATCAGGTATGTAGTACGGCAGATAAAGACCTCTGCAGAGTGCACCTTTGTGGTCAAGTTATGTGACAGACAAGATTACAAATGCCTCAACATGAATATTAGTCTTATTCTAAATTTTCTACCTACATGTACATGTATGTACTTTAACTGGTCACAACTGTACTTGTTTTCAATTTTAACGGATGTGTACTTTCTTAGTCTTTGGAGACTGCACCTGTAGGCTTACGTCATGTAACAGTGATGATCACTGATGTAACGATGACGTCATTGTCACGCAACCTAAATGCCATCTATAAATATCCTTGTCGGAAAGCATGCACTCTCTGACCAACATTTGGCATGCAATAGTGGAGCTATATCAGGCCACGTAGGAAATAATAAATATTTAGAAATTAATAATAAATTGCATGACGATGCCACTGTGACATTCATTTTTAGCATTTTCTGGTCTTGTAGTATCAACCTACAGGTAGCCATTTTGGTGATGATCGAATGCTGTCTGCTACCCGTATGTGAATCAGAATATCAACTTGTTTCGGACGTCGTCATGGCATTGCTGAATTCCTCATGCACATCCACTTGATGAATCAAAGGTGTTTGTTGTAAAATGAAATTTGGAAATGTATCTTGTTCTGTTCGGGATACAGAATGAAAACAATGGTAACTTATAAGAAAACTGAAAAAAATAAAAGCCGTAACTATCATGTGATGACATCATCTTGATGTAGGTACATGTAGGTACATGTACACCCTGAGATCAGGGTTGATATTTGTGCAAAGTGTGAAGTTAACATGTTGTCTAAGGTGTGAATGGCCACTTAAACTTAAAGCTGAAAACAGCTTGCCAAAAGCTGAAACGTAAAAAGTTTCCATACTTTTGTACATACCATGAGTACAAAAAAGCTGAAATTCAGGGTCAACATCTAAACAAAAAAAGCTGAATTCTCACACCCCTGTGTTGTACTGCCTTGAAGCAAAGTTGCAGAGAATTGTTGTCAATAAAAACAAAGAGTCATACAAAGCCAATCAGTAATGTGGGCCGAGCCAGGTCACCAAAAAAACCCGGGTACAGTACATGTAATGTAAAAAAAAAAGAATGCAGTCAGTGGGTGACTGGTCCCATTCACAGCCAAGACAGGTCATTTGAGACTGGAGCATAGGTATTGTTAATGTGGTCATTATAGTCTGCTTGCCAGTAGGGGGTAATATTTGGTTTCGCTGTTGTCAAGGGTAACGGCCTAGCCTGCAGAAATTACACTGGAACAAACAGCAAAGGTGTAATACTAAACATTTAACAGGTAAAAATTGTACAGTATATGAATGTATCACAGCTGGGAGTAAAAGGACATGTTACTTTCAGTAATTAGCAACAGAAATACAATCTGCATGTCATTAAATTATCCTTGGCCCTACTATTCCAAGAGTTGCCAAGTTGTTTGTCTTTATGACAAAACTATAGAACAATAAATGTGCTTGTTAGCACAACATAAAGGAGCTCCAACCTCCCTGATCAGTGCCCAATTGCACAGATACATGTATGGTACACGTACCAATTTAATGGTGCTGCTAAGCACATGATTTTTACGCTAACAGAGGCTATGCATATTTCATGGTGACTATAGGCAGTGAGCACAGCAACAGGCATGCTTACCTTGGAGTAAAAATTTGCTTAACTTAGTGATGTAACAATGAAATCTTTAGTACAAATACGCCATGATGCTGTGCTCAAGGCTAGCAAAACTTGCTGCTACATGAATATGAGCACAACTTTTCTGCTTGTAAGCAGCACCATGAAATTTGGCCCCAGTAAGCAAAATTTACAGCTTACTGGTAGCAAATTTATCTGGGGAGCCAAAATCGACTGCGAAGTAGCCAAAAGAAACACTAAATGTAAATACATTTTGTTGGTGACCTGATTTTACTAAGCAGAAATTTCGTTTGTTAATTTCAAGTGCCCTATGCTTTCCATCACTTTCTTGACCTCCCCCCAAAAAACACTGACTGCAAGGAGTCATTTCATTTTGTTCTGAATATCTGTTAAGTGAACTGACAGACTGGCCGACCTGTGACTATTAGGCTGTGTGTATCTTCTGTCATGTTTTTTATTTCCCTGTATGTTGGTCTGGAAAATCTCTATGATTCATGTGATTTTCATCAGAAAGTTCAGTGGTGCTTGTTCTTTACTCATTCAATATCTACATCCCATCACTTTTTGGTTGCCATGGTAAAACATTTGCAATATGCAAGACTTACTTTCTATTAATTTTTCTTCAACTCACTTTTAAATATGAGTAAAACAAAAACTGCAGTTACAAAACCTAAGAAAAAAAATACAAAACAAAGGAAAAAAAATCAAACCAACCCCCTTCCAAAAAACCCAGACAATCCAACCCCTCCCGCGAAACATTTACATTTCTTGAGAGACTACCTGGTTGGGGCTTGGAAAGGCAAAGACATGAAAAGCCTGCAGATATTACATGTATTTGATGTCACAGCTGCTTAAGATTCCAGAATCTTTTGGGGTTTGTGATGTGTGCTTATAAACTTGGATACAGAATCCTAAAAGAGGTGGGTAAGTGAGAGGGACGAGCAGTGGACTTTATAGGATGGGGTCAGGGAGCAAGGCAAAGTGGCAAGCAGTTTGTAGACCCACCTGTGGTGCCTCGGATGGCTCATTCTGGAGTTGGAGATCTGGTGGCTCATTCCACTTCCTGCCAAAGACCTCAGTGTCTGTCTCAGCCTCAGGCTGCTCGCCGACATACTCCCGTGGCAAGCTGGCAAAGATGTCGGTGGCCTCGTCCGGCAGGCCATACTCCCGTACCACGCGAGTCCGGATCTGCCGGGCCACGGCTGCTCGGTCTGTGCAGCGCAGGCTGTAAGCCCGCTGTGTGGCGCTGCAGCGGTGGAGGTCTTTCTCACGGGCTAGCATGGCTTTCACTGTGGCATCATCCAGTGCTGGGCAAGAGAAAGAGGAGATTTAGCTGAAAATGAGAACCCACGAAATTGGTGGGAAATCATACCAGTATCATACAGTCTTTAGCAGAAAAAAAGGTAAGCCAAATAACCACGTTTACAATATACCACATGTGAAAATTGCCAATCTGGATATGAAGATGCTTTCTGAAACATCAGTGTCAAGGCTATTCCAAATGCCGACATTTAATCCCAAGCCCAATCCTATCATTTCTAACAAGCTTTAAAAGCATAATTATGATCTGGTGTAATTAAGAGAAAACAACAAATATAATTTTGACTAATGCTGCTCGTATGTCAAACACTAGGCTGCTATCTACGTCCACTTCAGAGGTGAGCAAGAAGCATTATTCAAGTACAGCATGGCCAGATAGCATTTATGTAACAGCAAATGTGCTGGTACATCAGCCATCTGGTCCTGATAAAAGTCCTTTGAATGACAAATCTGTCTACATGTATTTTGAAGAATAAGATTAACAACCTGATACTTGAAAAACCAGTGCTTGAAAGTTACCACTGGAACTACCAGCGAAACAAAACAAACGAAACAAACCCCCCCCCCAAAAAAAACACATCCGCGGAGTGCAGGCCAAATATATCCTTTTGAAATCTATTGATTTAGAACTCAACTTTGGCGCTCAAATAAAAAGCCAGAGGGGCAGGATCCAGGTTTCTACTGGATGTCTAGTATTCCACTTACTCAGGGCATACAACAGCACTATAAATGAACAATTTGAACCCCCTTTGGCATGGTGGACATCTTGGCCATTGGTCACATGTAAATCTTGGCTTCCTTGTGTTTTCAAATTTTCTCGCAAGTTCCACATTATGAAATCCACTGTACATGTCCAAACATGTACACAGATGCAATCTGTCAACGGAGAAAGTATGCCTCTTCAGAGTTCAGAAGTCTGTGGGGGAACGCAGGGAAGGGTCATGACTTGTGATGAAATGGAAAGGGGATTGAATTAAGCCACTACAGCATTCTTGGTAAGTCACTCGGCAACTCCCGCCCCCCATGCAGTACAGGGTTATCAACAGGCACCAATTAAGTTAAGGAGTAACATGTGATGTAATTTGCATTCCATGACAATGATGCCTAGAAGGCTGAGACAAACAGGTGCACCAGCCCAATGCATGCAATACATCAGGCCGGAACGATTTTACTTCAGATGAAGTCAGATTCAAGACGGAGAGAAACCTCCCCCCCCTGCTTGGTGTTGGTCATTGTGTCACTGGAATCTGAGGAATTCTTTTTAGACATCTAGGGGGGATGTGTGTATAGTGATTGGACATGTTGGGGGTACCCCGGTCTCATTTCTTGCGGGATGTAGAAAACTCCCAACAGTAAATTCACTCTGTTGATTCACCCAATCAAACTTTACATGTTGATCAAACATAATTGCCCTTGATGGACTCATGTTTCAGTGGAGATTGAGGACAGCAATAACCACTCGGCAACTGAAGAAGAAGTTCCAAGAAATGGAAAACAAAATCTCAAAATGTGCAAGTAACACATCACTTTGTTTTCTCAACTGTCTGCCGTTTTCCAAAAATGATGAAAATTGATGGACTTCTTTTATGCAGATGACAAAGCTATGCGCAACAGTAGTTAACTGTGATACCCATGCAGATTATTAACAAATCACCCGGCTACCAGTGATATTGCTATGTGATTTTCTCATGAATTTAAGAGGAAACTGGGGAGACCACCACAGGGGTTAAGTGCATGTAGGCAGTATGAATCGGTGCCAGGGACGTACAGTTACCAAGAATGAGCACTTCTATGGTATGTTCTGCCGTTTGAAGAGAAACGGCCAAGCGACAGTAGGAAAGTTGGTGGTATGCAAACACAAGCACACTGCATTTGAAATCCTGATACTACAGGATCTCAATCTACATTACAAGTTATTTTGACAAACAGAGCTCACGACTCATTTCTGATTGAAGTCTAGTTCCCCCCATCCTTCCTTGATTTTTCAATGGGGAGTGGATTTAAAATCAATTTATTTCTAAAGCTATTAATTTAGCTTTGAGTCTGGGAGGGGTTAATTTTTATACTGGGCTTTGCCCTCACATGGATGAATATGTTCACACTACATTCTCAGTGTGATCTGCGAGTTACAAAGAATCACAAGCTTGCCCAGCATGGATGGATTTAACAGCTGGGATATGAACCTGTGATTGCCTGCTTACTAGTGCAGACATCCTAACCACTCAACTTTGAAATTTGTGCTAGAGTTGGAAGGCTGGGTTAGCAATGGTACATGAAGCAAGGATACTGTAGGAAGTCAGTGATATTAAGCAATTTTGAAAACTATGTAGGTAAATTTCCTTAATTAGGACAGTCCGGACAAGCTGCATTTAAATTTGTTTTTATTATTCAGTAAGCTGTAAGTTTTTCAACATTTGCAAACTTTTTGTGCCCATCCAATGGGAAACAGCTTGCAAAAGTTGGCACCAACTGCCTATCATGCAATTTACAATATACATGTACGTGTTTTGAATAAACAGACAAAGAGCTCTGCAGTCAACGCACATTGTCCATGTACCTTTGTGACGTACACGCTTTCTGATTCACTATACGCGTAAACAGCTCAGGGAAGGTTCCACACCAGAAAGGCATTTTCCAGAAACCGAGCTCTGGTTCATTCGCCAGAATAGAAAAGGGTGTCAAGGTCTTATCAGACTGAAAGATGTTAGCAACAAAGCTGTAGTGTATTTGTTTACAACACAGCTGGAGGTTTATCACACTTATCATCGCTGTACACACATTTTGTTGAAGCAAAGTTCAAGGTGGTGTTAAAAAGTTGTGTACTACAGTCAAGAATAAGGAACTTCCTTCTGTGCTATTGTGTTCATGGACAATATCAAATTTTTCATCACGTACTGAAACATATTCTCACAATTGGAAATGAAGAAAACAGCGATCAATGAATACAACAAGCAGAACCGAGAACTGAAAACAACAGTAATGCACTTTGCTGATATTTCCCCGACAATTTAAACCTTTATAAACCTAAACTTATAACACCTGTTTTTTTCCTGATAAAAAATTTCTCTTGTGAAGGATGCTCAAGACAAAGAATGAACAATGATGAAATAATTCCTGGCTAACCGGAACAAAACGAGGCAAACATCCCGGCAGTAATTTAGTTAAGAGGTGACTAGTAGTAATGAGTTCCCAGAACTACTGGTTGTCAACACCCGCACATCATCAATTAAGGTTATCGACCCTTCACCCCGGAACACATTGTGCTGGTTCGCATTGAGTTCACGCCCTCCAACATGTGGTCTGATCATGTGACGGAATCATGACACTGATGCAATATAACATGAATGTACCATACAGCCCTACAACACAGCCAGCACAGACACGCAGGGTGAAATTTCTAGAATCATCCAATGGAATGAGTCATAGGCCTGGCTTGCAGCCCTGAAGATCAATTGCTTAGGGAAAAAACGCCCTCTGTTGACAATCACATAAAAACCTCCAAGAGTTCAGACAGGTGTGTTTACACAAGGTGATTTACAGGCCATGAATCCCAAGGGAAGCATTGTGGAAGGTCCGTAGTGTACACCTTTGAACTTTGGCTTACTTCTGCCAAGCACAAGTCACTATGAACACTGAAATGTTGGAAAAATTTAACCTGGTGGGCTATTACCGGTAGCATCACCCCTGTTATGACACTGACTTTGTCCAACCTTGGAAAGCTGCTGCTAACGAATCAGCCGGTTGTAAGTCCTTTAACACGTATACTGCACAAACTTTGTTGGTAACAGTTTCTGCCTCAAAATGCACATTTGCCTCACTGATGTTTTAAGACAAAGTTATTTATCAACTGGCATTTTGGCAGTTGAGATTAGAACTGATGGCTGGCCATAGTTTGCCAACCACTGGTAAGCAACAGGTACAAATGTGACAAGTGAAATGTTTCTCATCTTTCTAAATGCTGAAACAAGGGGCAGTCCTTCATTTTAAGAAAATTCGGAAGAGCCATAAATCGCTCTCCTCAAATTTCTTAGAAGAGCAAATTGCTCTCCTTAACATAAACCAATTAAAAGAAGTGAAAAATGAGGTCAAATGACTGTTTGTACCCTGGGGGTCTATATTGTTTCCACTTTCTCTGATGGTTTATAATGTTCTTGGGGCAATTTTTAAAATTAATTTAGTTCCGGTTAAGTTAGAAACTGGTTTACGATATGATGTCATCGCAGTTCTTTTTTTTTATTTGAACCAGAATTTTTATACTTGCGAATTAAACATACACTATCTGTGCCTGATGTAAGTTTCAACCTACACATCAAGACAGTTGTACATCAGGTACATGTCCCTTTTATTGAAATAAAAGTGGAAGTGAACATTTTTCATCCTGATTTAAGCATTTCTTTAAAAAAAAAACCCTAAGGGGCTTTGAAAGTTTAATTGCACTTCAACTTTGTTCAGTTGATGCAGACGGTAACAGACCCACTTCAATCAATATAGGAAAAAATAAACCAACACGTGTGCACGCACATGCGAACATAACGGTGTTTACGTATGATTATGGTCCGACCTGCTGGAGGGTTCCCCGCACAAATTTAATGAGTGCACACGTTGTACATTTTTTGGTGATGTTATCCACTGTGTTTGTCATATTGTTCGTTATTTGTAAAGTGCCCTTACATTTCTTTAGGGGCGTGATTTTTACACTCCTTTAGGAGTGTTGAGGAGCACGGTAGGAGCACCTGCGTGATCACACTCCTTTAAAAGGACTGAAGAGGGTGTCACAGCTTCTTAATTTCGACTGAACTTATCTCTACCAGTACCTCCTGTGGCAAAACTGGTAGGTCCAGCTGACTGGAAAGTTCATCAGCTTTTTATCTGATTGACAATGCTGGTTGGTAAGGTTATCTAAGTATGCTTGTGAGGACAGCTCCTCCTGGATCATTTGATAAACACTGTAGGTAGAAAGCGTGTCAAACTGGTAGACTTTAAGAGATTTAAAAATACCTTAAATTCAATTTAACTTAACCCTAACACTCCTCAGTCCTCCAACAGGTGAAGGATTGAGGAGGGTTAGGGTTAAGAAGTTACACCCACAAGAAAAAAAAAATGACTGTTTTGAGTTTTTTGTTGTCCTTGAAATTACAAAAGTTACCTGGACAGGAAATTCAGCAATGCACATGCAACACCTCTGATCTACATGTACATGACAATAAAGGTAAACTGTCAAGGTTTTTTTTTACCTTTGTGAGCGGTTCCACAATATGTGAAACAAAAATTGAAGACAGACTATGAGTAATGAAGACAGATTTGACAATCTAATAGGAGTTATCCAAAACATTTTGACATTTTTGTGAATTAAATGAAATCAGGCTGTACTTGTTAAATTGTTGTAACTTGTTAACTGTTTGAAACATATTGTACAGTTTAATGTTAGTCTTTCTCTCAGTTCACTAATACAATTTTCTGTGATTGTTTTTAATCATTGGTTGCACAAATGCATGTAAATAAATGATCATAACATAAATTAAAGTTCCTGCTGTGGCTAGAAATACATGCATTAATTAACACAAGTGCCTAACAAAGCCACTAGTTAGTGGCTATAATAATTTTCAAAAGACACGTGGGATACGCCTAGCCACAGCTAGTTGATTTGGACTTGGCCCAAGGGTCGATGACCAATGCCAGCAGACAAGCTCTCCATAAGCTCTCACTGTTGTCATGGGGCTTGAGCAGAACATACATACTTGCTGTCATCTAAATTTTATTCCCAACTGATGTTGTACATGTGTCTGCATGTATAGTACACAGAATAGCCAAATGTGCGTGCATTTTAGCATCTGGACGACAAGGAAAACGCAGAGTACAAACAAGCTTCAGGCAAGAAAGAATTGGGAGAACAGAATTTTGTAGCGGGTGACGATGAACCCATTGTATGACTTAGTGATCACACAGAGAGAGAAAACATTGGGCGAATGATATTTTTGTTACAACACCAACATTTCTGCTGAGCTACAGGGCGATCAAAACAAGACATACAAATACAATTACCTCCCCCTCCCTACATAAAGTAAAATTAGAAAACAAGACAAAACAAACAATAAAAAACCCCAAAACAAGCCAAAAAATGAGAACAAAAACCCTGTTGCAGAGTGATGGAGCCAGGCCTGTGAGTTTTAATATATACATGCATGGCATAGAAGATAAAGCTGGGTCTGGGAGTCCATTAATTTAGTAGAGAGGAAAGATTTTGAAACAATAGAGATGGGCTGGAAGGAGTGATCACGGGCTAGAAGGAGTGATCACGGGCTAGAAGGAGTGATCACCTTTGGACGGCAGTGTATCACTAAAAAGCCTGTACTTTATCCCACAAGTTGTGAACAAGAGGTGAAAGGATGGTTCATCATTTGCACTCTGAACACCTTACAGGGCAATTGGTATTCATCCGATTTATGGAACCTGGGATATTTATCATAGCTTTTCAATATTTAATTGCAATTCACTGGCCCTGTGATGTACAGGAACAAAAAGGCTTTACTGTGGACTATAGAGGGCGCTATTCAAACATGACAGTTGTACTGCATAAATACAATGGTTGCTACACTTCGACACTACCATCAGTGGCTCAAGTTACATTTGCAGAATTCAAATAAGGCTTGACAAGTTTTTAGTACAACAGTACTTAAATTCTTCTCACCCAAGCACTACTCTCGTTAGAAAAAAAAAAGACTGCTTAGTTACACTGAACCCTAAGAAAAAGAGAGAGTAATTTTGGGAGGGATAACATTATTAGAAACCCCAGCCTGACTGAATACATTGCAATGACCAGTGCAATATTTAAAACAATCTTTTCTATTAAGACAAAAAGTAAGAAAACAATATGCTACACTCACATGTCAAGGGTTACCTCTAGTTTGGAGCAGCTCCTTTTGTGATAATGCCAGGTACATCCCCTCCCCTTTTTTTTTTAAAAATTGCCAGATCCGCCACTGATGGACATACACCTACGAGCACACTTACTTGGAAATGCACTTGTGATAACAGCTGGTGGTCCTGACTGTCTTTGACTTGTGTTGGTATCGGAGGAGCACTCCCCTCTGTCTTCCAGCATATAGAGGGCGTCAGGGACGTAGGACATGCGGATTCGTCTCAGGCGTACCGAGTCGATGTCTGACACCATCTGCTCATCCAATATACTCTGTGGGATAGGGGCAGTAAAAGCACAATACAGTAAATTAAGGCTATGCCGCAATCTAGGTGTCGGCACTCGTTATCGACAGACAGAGGTGTAAGCTCTTGGAAGCCGTTTGCAAGATGGCATAAGAAAGGTTGAAGAGATGTACACGCGAACTACTGGTAAACATCCAGATGGAGTTTGACAAAATGATTACACTTCTGCTTTAAATTGTTCAATCACAGTTTAACAATTCTCTACTTGGCTACATCTCATACTTGGTTTAGTAATATTTTGCTGGAGCCATAAACACTTTCCAAGGGTTCTGCCATCAAAGTGCAAAGACAGTGCCACTGGTGGACTGTACGAATTTGGGTTTGAGTCGCTTTCGGAAGCTTCTCAGCAGAATGTCAGAAAAGATTGAGTTCACGGCATATGTGGTCACTGCCCAAACCAGAATGCCAAGTTAATCCTGACATTTCGTTCAAAGGATTATGCCTAACGATGCCCAGTGTTTACTCAGATGCATACAAACCTATAGCCTCTTTGCTCTGGAGGAGTATACCTGAACTTTAGCACACATGTAAATAATGCTGACGAGTTTCCTGCTGCATGGACCTAGTGTACAGCATTTTCACCTTTGTGGGGACTAGACATTAATAGACAAGCAAAGACGGACAGAGAACACTGTTTAAATCCTCGACCTTTCTCAGAGCCAACACCTACCCCTACAACAGTTTGTTTCCATGGTGTGACCATAAACAATATTTCCCTGTGTAGAGGATGTGTGCATCTGTGGAGGTGTGTGCATGTTTGAATCTGTGTTTTTCTATTGGCAGTTTCATGTATGCCAGAATGCTGACAGACTTCGAGACAGCACACATTTCTGTGCACATCTGTGTAAATGGAACGCTGACCATCAAAAATCAAGTCACTGAAAATTTTCTGTACCACTCTGCTAAGCACATGTGGGTAATTCCAGAAATTAAGGGGTCCAAAAGTGTGACATTTTTGTGTCATCCAACCGTTGTTATTTGACGTGGAAATATCACTGGAATTGATTTCAAACTATTACTACTTGTTTGGCAGGTAATTTGCATTAATTCATCATTCTTGGAAATTACAAAATGTGTTCTGAACTTAAAAAATCATATGTCAGATGTGACAGGGACACGAAAAAAAAATGGACCCCTAATTTCTGGAATTCCCCATGCATGATTGCATCCCTTAAAAAAATTCCTGTAAGGTAAAGCTACGCCCTGGTACCTTTGCCTCCTCCACATAGGGCGTGAACAGCCTTGGCCGGGGGTGGTTTCGTCGCCGCTTGCCCGACACCCACAGACTGTGCTGGGGGGCACTCAGCTCATCCCCGGGGAGCATGTGGGAGGGCGGGGTGGGGATGAGCCCCCGCTTGACAGCACTGGCCAGCGTCTCATGGCTGCGGGGGATGACGTGGTCCAGGCGGACCAAGGGCAGCAGGTCGCTGATGATCTCTCGCAGCTCCCGGTTGTCCAGGTCGCGTCGCTTGATGCCTTTGCGGCTGACGCTGTGCTGGGTGTTGCTGACCAGATTGGGTTCTGTTTTGGATCAAATGAAATCACTCAATTCAGGTTTGAAACATTTACTTTTGCATTGACACCGTCAATGATGATTCAGTAGGAAAGAAACATACACAAACGTTAGACACAGAAGGCACATCATTAAATGGATGTATTTGATAAGACAAAAAGAAATTACATGTGATCATTATTGATGTCCACAGCAAGAGAAAAAGTGGAGAAGAGCTTGTTAATCTTTCCTTAGAACAGGATAAGACTTCAGACTGCTATTCAGAGCTAGAGACGGGGGCAACACATTCACCAATGAATAATAACTGCCTTACATACAGCCAACCCCACATCCTATATTACTGAGTTTACAATCAAAGTCCTGTATACACTGGTGTTTAGAAATTTAAGGTGCACTTATTTTCTTGCCTTCCAATCACTGTCTGATGTCCTACATGTAGATGGAGATGGCAGGACAACCCACGTTACGTTTCAGAAGCAACGACCTACTTGTTTAGCATGGGGTCAACCTTTAAAATTATGGCAATGCCAGGGAAACCCTTCCATTCAGAATATACATTACAAATTCAAAGGAGTTGATGAAGATACCCCCAAAAAGTCCAGCCCTATAATTCAACCTGACATGTACCTCCATCCAACCTTCCCATCTCAACCAATTCAACTGAACTCAATGCCCCCAAATCCACATCTACACGGACACTTCTCCTTTTCATGGTCCCAATCAATTTATTACTGGGAGTTCACCAGTGTATCAAGCCCAATGCAAACCAACAGAACCTGGGATCCACCTTCCTCAACCTTCAATAATCTTCCCCCGTGTCCTGGTGAATTTAAGGGATCTGTGAGGTCCATAAACTAAACTCAGAATCACTAAAGTAATTTCACCTCTGTCCTCCATCCGTTTAATAAGTTGGTGCTCTCCCCACTTGACTACTGCCTTCAGCACTTCAGCTTCACTGGCCTAGTAGAACAGACAAGTGTGCATAAATTAGTGACTATTCATCAAGCCAACCTCAATTTTATTGGTGTAAAGTTCTGTTAGCATATTAATAATGTACATGGAACCTGCACGGCAATAAGCATCATGTGGCACAAGTTTTGTGGTTTGCACGTAACAGAGGTTACATGTATGGTACATACAAACAGTCAATTGTACTGCATACCGAATGTGCTATCACTCAAAACCCTGAAACTTTCTTGTGGATGTTCAATGGGATTCCTGCTTCAGGGCAATGCTAAAGGTTTATGTTAATTCACTGAAATCAATTTCCCTACAAATCCGAGGAGATGCCATTCCTGCAGGGCCATCACACTCAAGCATTGGTTTTAACTGGGGTGCGTGCATGCATATTGGCAAGTCTCAACACCCTATTGGTCTGAGAGAACTGTAACATGCACGTACCTCCTGTGTGGGAAAAGGATGGTGGCGCAGGAATGGCTTCTAATTCTGTTTCTGGTTGCCAGATTCATCTCATATTTTCATTATCTTTTTGATTATGGGTTTCTGTAAACTCAGTGGTTTAAGGCTCTCAAGGAAAAACGGTTTAATAGATTTCTTCCTGTCCTTGAATTATTAAAGATAAGTCTATGCCTTAATTTCATCAGTGGCTTTTCTCTTTCAGTTTGATGTCTCATTGAAAAACTCACAATGTAGACAATGCATGTGAACTGGCATTTCAATATACCATTTCTTTTGGTGAGCCAAACCCTAAAGGCTCGATGGGTGTAACTAGATGAGATAAGATATCTCCACTAGTAAGCAGGTGGGTGAGGATTGAGATTGACAAATAACAAAATTTAAAACTGGGCTTTCATTGGAGGTGAAGGATGAACAGGTGCAGTATTTTTGTCTTTTGTTAAGAGACTTATCAAGACAGACTGCAGCTGATGTACTAGTACATTGGAGTTGTTACATTCTTAATCTTGCCTGATACAACTGAGTCTTACAGCAATACAACTGTGCATTCATTCGATTGGTTGGATTAATCAGTGCACTGCGCATGTACATGTACATGTAGCAGTCAATAATGTGGAAGGAAACAATAAACAGCTGAACAGTGTCATGGATGTTGATCATCCAGTCCATTGAAAATGCAATGAAATGCAGCATTGTAATTTGTTGTAAAATTGTAATGGAGTCAGTCACAGAGCACAAGTCATCACAAGTCAGTCTACAAACATCATTCTGTCCCAAGTCAGCTCACACACTATTTCAATAAACTGTGATAATGGCATTCCTTGTCACTTTTCATCTCTAGTTCTTACCTAATTTGTGATTGGCTTACGAAAAGACAGGTGACTTGTATACTTTGATTGGCTTGATTCTAACCCTGATTGGTTGCATTCCACCAGGTTGCCATTTCACCTGTGTTAAATTTTGTTACATTTAGCAGGGCTAACTGCTTGGAGAAAACAGAATCCTGTCCAACCTGTAAGAAGTCTGACTTGATGGCCTTCTTAAGCAGTATCTTGCTGAGGTCAGAGAGCACTGGGGAGCTGCTGATGCTAGAGAACTCCTCTCTCAGGTAATGCATGGCTTGCCGGTGGACCCAACGGGAACCATGGGGCTCTGCGCTCCAGCTGAGGATGGAAGCTAGGTTGTCTGAGCAGATGGCATTGGCTAGGGTGTCCTCACAAGCTGGGTGAGATTTATGGACAGGTTTTGAGGGCGACAAAAAAAACAACAACAACAAGGTAACTACCATAACAAGTCACTTCTGATTGATTCTTGTCAAAGCTGAGTCAATGGAAGCTAGGGACCAGAATGAAACATTCATGAAAGTAATTGTTTGAATCAATTTTTATCAAAAATGCTTGGCTTTCTCCGACAATATTGGCAACAACGTTCAGATGAGTGAGCTTAAGAGCACTGTTACTGGAATAATGGACATACACTATTGATGAAGTTTCATGAGGGAATGTTAATTTTTTTTTACGTTATGTACTTGTTTTGTGAAAAATTGATTCTTACTACAGTAAAGCGACATTATAACAAACACCGATATAACTACATTTAACACCGATATAACAAACACTGATATAAAAACACCGATAAAACAAACACCGATATAACAAAGACCGATATAACAAACACTGATATAACAAATGCCACTGAACCAAACATTCAGGAATATCGAACATCCCTCTTTGCTTCAAAATTTTCTGTGTACTTTTACCAAATATTACAGATTTGTTTGTTTTACATAAAAGAAACATATTCAGAACTGATAATAATAATTCAAAGTTGAAGAAAATCACACTCACTATGGAACAAAGGCCAACAGGTGGCGCAGTCTGTATTGTTAGTGGGTAGCATACTCGATATAGCATGCAATGTGTGTGTGTGCGTCCGCTGCCGAGTACATGTATGCATGTGTATATGTGTATGCTATGCAATACTGGAGAATCTGGTATGGAAAACCTTGCTTGATAATCACTACAAAGCAAGAAAATCTGAGCTCAAAAACCAACAAACAGGAAATAAATGCACAGATAGAAAATGGAATTTGTTACTTAACTTGGAGAAAACTTTGAAAAATACATATACATGTATCTTGCTAGTTTTGATCACTTTCAAAATGCTTGCTTGAAATTTTCTTGCCGATGTTTCAGACATGCTTGCGGCTCTAGTTCTGCTGTATTAGAATGGTTTCCAGCACGGCCCATTGATTAAAGTGCCATTTTACGGTATCAACGGGATCGGTGAAACTGTTCCCATATGTAGCCTACATGTGATTTTTTAATAAATTTCTCAAGGAAAACTCGATTTCATTTAGCAATTTGTCTTCCAACGAGGGCAACCAGAATGATGGAACATGAAAAGAGATAGAAATATTTTTTAAATGCAGGAGTCTTCTTTTTTAGCTTTTTCTCTTGCACATACAACTTGCCCCAAAATCCTCATACCAAAACATTTTGTGGGGTGGACCAGCACTCGTTTGAATGCGGGCTGGAGTTCCGACTGGGTGTGTGCATCCGTGACTAAAAATTGCAATACCAAATGACTGAACATTTTGAGTGGACCCTTGTGTTTGTTACAGTGACATTCCACTCTACTGGATACAACTGCCTGAGTTCACAGCCGTACTTGTTAGTGATTAGAAATTAAAGGTACATGTAAATGTATGGTACCAAACTGTGCTGGGAAGGAAGGGAGACGTGATAAAAAATGGCTGAGTCAAAGCATGTGTGAATGACCTTAGAAGATGCTGATTTTGTACATTTAACCCAACCACTAGTAAAAAAAAAACTGACAAAGTAGTTTCATGCATACATGTACCATACCTTGTGCCATAGAGCCTAGATCCAGGAATCTTGCTATCTGGTACAGTTCCATGGCCATTTCCACCCTACTCATGGGTGCCTTCCCTGCTGCCATGGCTTGGGCTTCCCCTAAACTCCCCACACTGGGGCTGTCCGGCAACACTAGAGACAAGTCCAGCACATCCTGATAAATGGCGTACAGTAAAACCTGCGCGTACTTCTTTGGTATGATCGAGTCGTCCAGGACGATTTTGGTGGGTGTCTGTAACGTTCTCTCGGTCAAGTCCTCCCCTGATCGCTGCTTCTTCTGGAGAAGGTTGCGAAAAAATGGGGAACGTGCTGCCAGGACAGCCTTGTGGCATCGCAGTGAGCTGGTTCTGTGTGGCATTGGCTGTGCTGAAGCTGCTTCAGAAGTAAGTTCTGATTTCTCTAATTCTAAGTCAGAGGAGAAGACAAGCACGGCATCTGTGAACTCTCCGGTTTCCAGCAAATGCCTGAAATCGTGTTCAAGGGGACTAGGGGTGCCAAATTTCTCCCCTAGCTGGATCAGAGTGTCTAAGCTGTCCAGACGGGAGTCCTGGGCAATGAAATCCCCCGAGTACAAGTAGCGCAACAGGGCTGAGAATGTATTGACACTGACGCCACTAACTCGTAGTTTGACTGGAACCTTGGCTCCATACTGGGGATACTGAGACATGAGCTTTCGGAAGTATGGACACCGGCAGGACAAAACAGCCCTATGAACAGGGAAAACAGTGTCCCTGAATATGAAATCAATATCCGAGCAGAACTTATAGTCGTACAAATCCAGTAAGTCATCCTTCAAGGAGGTGGCAATCGGACGGGCCAGATCAGTCTGAATTGTGAGTTCTTTTAAAGCTGCGAGAGCATCATATTCCTCAACGAGCGCGTACACATCAAGGGGATTCCATGCTGATGCCATCTCCCTCATCGCCCGGGCATGGTCTAAGGACTTCCCTGTCCTCTTCTTGCGGACGATGCGTTTCTTCAGTGAGGCCAAGCTGGTTTTCTTCTTCTTCTCCTTCTCCTGTTTGGCCACAATGGGCGTGGCCTGGCACAGGGAAGGAGGCTCCGGCGCTTCCTCTCCGCGGAGAAGCACATGCTGATGATGGGGATGACCCGTTTGCACCTGCTGACGGCACTGCAAATGGGGTGGAGAGGGGGAGGGGCCACCTGCAGTACGAGGTGGAAGTGAAGAGGTCTCACTACCACTGGTGCCCCCTCCTTGGTCCCTCTCTTGAGGGTCCAATGAGGATGGATTACTCCCCATCATGGAGACTGCTCACCAGTGAAATGCCTTAACGTTGAACACAAATTACTTTAATTGACAAATTGTATCCAAAGGTGCATCACATAGCTTCGTACAAACTGAAGAATTGACTGATTCTACATAAACTCTCACATTGTGATGGGTCATATGAGTACACAGCCTTTCAGTTATAAATACATGTATCACTTGTAGGCAGCCAAAGAAAGCTCCAGCGCTGAATCATGCATGTACATACATGTACAGAGAACACTAAAAGGAACAACACTTTCCTCCAAACCACGCTATTCCTCTGTGTCCATGATGACTTGCAAGTACACTTTCTGGGCAAATGAACTTGCTGAACTCCTACATACGATATTTAGAACTCCGTATGCCTGTCATCCGATCTGGGCAGTAGTATTTTGACGTAACAACTGTACATGTATGCGCAGCGATGCAGATTACTAAGCTTTGTGTACTGAAAGCGCACGGAAGCGATGCATCTCTGGGGGACACCCCCTCGCTGAGCTTCCAAGGCACGTGTGGACACCGTGCACTCTCAAACACTCCCCGCGTTGATCCTATCACAGCTCAGTAATCCTACATGCACGTGTAGATCTTCACAGCTGGAGTATTGCCAAAGGCCAAAGGGCTGCGTGGCTGAGTCATAGCAAGATACGTGGACTCTCTAAATGTTGCTCTTCCTGCAAGGGACACGACACGTCAGCTCCCTCTCTTTCTCGCTGCCTCTCCTGAAAATAGGAAGCCCAAGAATCAAATGAATGAGTGACAACAATTCATTAATCAGAACTGCAGAGGTGGAAGTGACTGGACCCTTTTGTGCAGGCCATGCTTCAACATTGCTGAATATGTGAACAACCAAGTAGATGTATGTTTTCAAGTTAAACTACATAAACATGAATGTAGGGGGAACACGTCTAAGCAGCTTGCGTTTCCAACATTATGCATGCATGCGTGCTTGTTCCTAACATACACTCATACACATGCACCACAGTCCAACATGAAATGTGGAACTGACGGTTAAAAATATGCACTTCATGTGGTACAGTGGAAGAGACAAAGTGCATGCATGTGCATCACTGATTATTTTCACCACATTAAACTCCAACAAAACGGAACCGACAGGACTTTGAAGGAAATCCCTCATTTACAGTACAGGTACATGTACACAAAAAAAGTACTTCCAAAATCTGACCAAAGGGAAAACAGAAAAAAATCCTTTCATGCTACTCAACCGAAATGAATGTGTGCAAAGTATGGAACTACGTATGGAGAACAATGCTACATGTACATGTGTATATTTGGCAGGGCTTCACATCAGATCTTGTTGTGTAAAGACCTACATGTACTAAGTGGACATATTAATTAATTTATGTAAAAACAGGGAAACGTTTTGAAGTGTTAATACAATATTCTTTGTATTGTACAGTATCACTGTTTCACCATTGGCCAAAACTAAAAAAAAAGAGTTATCTGTAAGCCCTTCCGTATCACAATAGTACTACATGCACACAAGCATTCACACTTCCCTTTAAGTCTCTTAACAAATCTGCAGCCAAAACTAATATGGCACACTCATTACGTGCGGTTTGCAGGAATAAACCAGGAAATCAGTGGTGTAAATGGAGGCACAGAAAATGTTCCACCGCATGAACCTGCAACTTGCTGGTGGTGTCCTGAAATGCACCGCAGAATCTGCGGTCAGAACATGTAATTGGGCCAGCGTTTCCCTCGTTAACCCTGCATTATTTCCATATCCTCCACACATGCTGTGAGCTGACGCCTGCTAACCAGTGCAATGTACCGGTCATTCAGGCGGCACAAGTGATACAGAAAATTGTGTCCTTGGGGGAGGAGAAAATTAATGCTATCAAAACAAACATGGGAGGGTTATTGGATATTGTTAAGTCAAGCTACCCGTGCACCGTACATGTACACTGTACTCACTATGGACAGGTAGATGTGGGTGTACACTAAAAAACTTAAAGCTTCAATCCTGTCACCAAAACGCTAAGCAAAAATTTTTTCTTGGAAATCTACCGTACATCTGAGTTTTAAATACATGTACATGTAAGTGCTATTGGTAACCACCACTTTTATGGTTCAATTTGAACTGGCTATTTATACAAATTGGCAAAACTTCCAATCTGAATATGCACCAACATTGGCTCAAACTACTTTTATGCACGCACATGTGCATCTCAGTATACATGTACCGGTATATTGTTGTATATCAGTTCATTTTTTAAATACATGTACACACAATTACACGCACATGTACAATTTTCACATAACATTATATGGTACACATGCACATGACAAAATATGATGTACATGTAACAGTGTGCAGCTGGTTTCAAATGTACATGTAAATTTTCAAAATTCATGTACATGTACACTGACTTTGCTTTATGCATAGTACCAGTAGTGTAACTGGCTGTAACTCTAATATTCATTTCACCTGCTACGCTTTGCCAGCCCGGTGCATGTGTGATCAAGGCAATCAGGTCAGCAGCTCTGCTTTTTTATATTCATAATTTGTACCATATTATCTTATGTCCTTCCTCCATCCACTATGAGGCTTGAGGGTAACGAGGACTACATGGTATTAGTAGCCTACAGACTTTATCTTGTACATGTATGTACATGTACATGTACGTTATACACGTATATGGTACATGTACATACACATGTTGTTCTTGAATGGTACCGGTACATACATGTAGCAAGTTTAGAAATAAATGATGACTTTCAGGTGATCAGATTTGATCACTGTACATGTGGCACACTGTATATTTCAGAGGAGGCTTATTGGTTAGATTGGAAAAACTCAACATGTCAAATCCTTGACTCAGGGTCAAGAGGTGTATTGGATTGTTGTCCTGGAGCTAAGAAGCATGCCCTTGTTGCAGGCTCAAGTTCATTTTCAGACGAAGGTGTGCATCACTCCACATTTTTTCAGTCAGGTTCAAGGCCTATCGAAGGCAGTTGAATTACAGAGCATGGCCCCAAGGGTTCTTGCTCAAATAAATGCTTAGGCACATGCATCATGCATGACACAACTACATGTAAATCTACATGTGTACAAGGATCTACATTGTACCTCTCAACTAACCTTCAGGTTGGAAGAAAAAGAATCACTGTGTTGGCTTTGTGAGGGACAAAGAAGCAACAATTTCTCTCCAGCAAAATCAGTGACAAACTTTCGAAAAGTGGGACTTGATAAGGCATGCCTTCATCAAAATTGACGGAACTTTCTTAAGTACAACGTGGCAAGTATCGGTAACCACTTCCTTTGCAACTGAGTGATGTTTTTAAATTGCATTCTTGCTTTCAAAAAAAGTGCCATGGCCTCTTTTGAACTCATCTTCCCAAAGGAAACCTACTGTACATGTACACTTGAATGGCCTAGGGCCACAGTGCAAAACTAGTTAATGTTGTCCACCATTCAAGGCTGCGTGGATTTACAAAGGTGGATTAAAGAGAACCAACCAATTAAGAATGAATGGAGGTGGGCGCCATACTCTGAGCTTGATCACGCCCACAACAGAAACTAAACATGAAAAAAATGACTGTCTGCCTCTGCATGTACCATTATGTCCACAGAATACTGGTACATAATGTGTGAATACCGGTTGGTGCCGGTACACGTTCATTACTTGTATTTTGTAACATATTCAGTTGTGTATTAAAATGTGGGTCAAACTGCTATTAAATTTACTGGTAGGTAAAGCAACCAAAATAAATACTTGTCTTAAATTAGGGGAATTGATTTTTGAAAGGGGATTTTTAGTATCTCGCAATGGTTACAACGTGTACCTGGTTATTTCATGTACAATATACATGTACACGTACAACTTGTACTTTTACATGTGTATCAGTGTGTGGTGCCAAAAGGGAAGACACTGTTACATGTAAATGAAGGCCGATGTGCATACAGTAGCAATACAAACCAGTCCAGGTACAGCTCATGTACATGAACATAGGCAGGTAGCTATCGGTATACATGTACACCCATGGTACTCATGCAGGTGCTGTGTTCAATCACATGATCACAGTGAATGCATGGTATGGTTATATTACCTGACATTCTACCAACAGTGCAGTTGCCTAAGCCCTTTCAATCAGCATCATTCTCATGTTGTTGAAGGGTTTGACGTAGGTCACGCGTGGAAGAATTCATGTCATGAAATTCAGTAAGCCATACTGGTATACCTGCATCATGCATGGCGTGTGAGCACAGTTCACTCATTACTCTCAGTTTCCATCTGTTTCTTGGCGAAGGGGAAGGGGAGGGCGTTCTGGGTCATTACGAAATTGGTTTCCGTTGCAGCCGCACTATCACATGGTGCGAAGTCATCGAGTGTGACATGTCAAACTACAGTTCACTTCATTACTGTCTACATGTGTGTGCATGTTGGACACAATATTCAAGTACATGAGTACATGTATTTTTACATTCCTATTCACTGTATCCTCTGTGTTGCAAACACGGCAATAAATGTAAATGTGCATAGGCTGATGCAATGTTAGTGCTATCCTGTTCATCTGCATGTACCTTGCCCTAATTTTTTGCAGTGTGAATGTACATGCACATGTACATGTACCGTACCTTATGGAAGGTTGACACAGGCCACAGTACATTGCACCAGTAGCGTCCACCTTGACCTTTGTAACACTTCATTTTCCTGTATCACATAGTAGTACATGTAAATGTATGCTATTGAATTCTATCAGTTTCATTTCTATAACAAAATAAAATGTACATGTAGTTCCAGATTTACAACGCATATCTACCATGCAGTATATACAGATGGAACAAGAAGCAAACTCTAAACACATGTACTATAAAGTACCAAAGTGACTGCATGTACTGGTGCTTGTACGCCATGCGCACAATTACCGGTATGTGTGCAAACAGCATTAGAGTGACAGCCAGCATGTGAACCACCACGCGCGTACTCCATGTGTTTGCATGGCATTTACTGCTTCTAAATGACGTCACACTTTGGCAAGGTTCTCTGTGGTGCACGTGTACCAACAGAAAGTAAACACAAGATGCGTATGGTGCGTACTCCATTCGTTTGCATGGCATTTACTGCTTCTAGATGACGTCACACTTTGGCAAGGTACTCTGTGGTGCACATGCACCAACAGGAAGTAAACACAAGATGCGTATGGTGACATGTACCCCTACAGGACACAGTTCCTCTTTCCTCCCCTGCCTGTACAAAGTATGCACTCACTGCTGTGAACATGCACATACAGGTGCATTTAAACAAGAAATGATCCTTTTCCTTTTCATGCACAATGTGCGTTGGTCAACATTGACAATACATGCATGACAACAAAGACAAGTTTCAAGGAAATGACACCTGATGAAATGTTAGCAACGTGTCACGTTTATTACAACAATTTGACCCTTCATCTATGAAAGGTGCGCTCCAGGTGATTTCCAAGAGCTTCGGCAGGGGAAGGATTGCTTGCTCAGGCAGGACTACACCCCATACTAGTATCTCACCCCATCATGGCATTATTACCAATGTACATGTATATTTAACAAAATTCTGATGCAACTACTGTACATGTAACAACTTTACAAGAAATTTCGTTCTGGAAAATTCATACTTGTGCATGTTTACTGTACATGGTACACTGTACAGTGTGCAATGTGCAGTATCTAAGGTGTGGGGTTTTAGTGGTAGTGGAACATGAGAGACGTTCATTGACT